AATTACGCTAACAACATCACGCGTAGCGCTGCTCGGACGGCCGTGAGACGGCCATAATTTCTGGCCGGATTGAGCCGTCAGCGAAAGTGTAATATTTTACCGAGATGGCGACCGATAGGTAGCCATCGGCAGCCGGAATACTAAACAGCTTACGGAAGATCCCCGTTAGAATCCGAGGTGGGGCAGTCCGAAACTCACCTGCGTATCCCCGTGTCGCAACGCCGATCGACTTTTCACGTTACTCGCGCCAACTCTCGCTCATTCAACATCTCCCGATCTGCCTGCTCCGGACTTACTCTCCCGGAGATACTCGATCTACGGACGAGAGATGGGCACGGCCGATGCTCACGGACGAGCCATTCAATTTGCCGAGAGCCACGAAGCGCCGCATCTCTAATCTGTTTGCGAATCTCTAAGACTTCTCTTTTCGACGCTTTCCTCTTCAGATGTTCCCGCGATAACAAAGGACGTTTTTACCCAAGCGCGAACCGAATTTCAACCTGAATTATTGAAACGTTTGTTTGCACGCCGTACCCTTTCTTCCCCGTATAGTTGCCCCGCGCACATAGCGCAACGTAGTTGGCCGGATTCCGCGAGGTATCCTCGTGTCGGTTTTGTTTCTCGCTAACATGAACTCGCAGCGGAATGCCGAATTCGAGAACGTGAAACAACGGCCACGGCAATACCTTTCGCGTGCTTGTTACGCTCCTGGGACAAAATGCATGTTCGAAGGTCTTTTCTTAGTAGTCAGGAATTGTTCGGTGCCGAGGACGAGCTTAAATCTCGCACGTACACCCAGGAAAAGAGTTTAGTTAAAATCAAACAAATTTCGCAATAAATTTCTTTAATTAGAATGTGCCGGTCATGTCGAATATTAATTTCCTACATTGGTTAACTATTTACCGACGACAATGAGTCTTTATTCTTGTCAAACAAATTTGTATTTTGACCTTACTAGACTGTTTATGTAATTTCAAAGAAATGAGGTCTTTGTCTTAGCCAAAATTTTATTTGATTGAGACTGAAATTTCTAAGAGAATTCATGTCTATTTCTTCAGATCTAGCAAATGTTTTAGTGGAAGTAAAAAATTTAGTGGATTCAAAGAAATATTATTTCAACGTGTCCCATTTGTTTAACCTAACTGTAATGTGCCTCGAGCGCACACGTGACTCTCGATGTATTGTATTTGTTTTGTATTTGCTTTGGGATTCTATAAGTCGGTGGTATCCTTGACATTATTTAAAAAGTGCGGAAAAAGACGAGTGTCACTTCGAAACGTTAGAGATGAATCTTGAGGATTGCGAACCTCTTCTTTGGCGTAGAGTACAAGTTGTTCGACTTTCGGTGCAGCTGGCAAAGATCACGGGTCTATCTGGGATGATCTGTGGGCTGTAGATCCTACGGCGGGATCAAGATCGAGACGAGATACGGTGGGAACCCCGTGGACACTGCTTGTACGGCATTATTGTTGTAACCGTGTTAAAAGTTCGCCATTGTGACGGACATTGTGCAGCTTGTCGTCGAATGCGTTTGGAAGAAAAATATTTTGCTCCCTTTTCTCTTAATGCGCGCCCTCGTGTCACTTATGTTAACAAATCTTGACAGTAATGAAAGCAGCCCTTACAAGTGATTTTCGTGTTAAGGGGGGGTTTTTGTTAAGTGTTCGATTTCATGAAATATATTGCTCCACTTCGTAATTCGATCGATTATACATTTCATTGTACAGTACCGACCAAAATTACATCACCTTTAGGATTTCTGAGCATAATTCTCGTCAAAATGTACCGGATGTGCTCAAAAGGTGCCTTTACCCTAATTTTGGTCGGCACTGTATAGACGGACCAAAAATGCTGTTGAATTAAAAAAATGAAGATGCTTGCATTTAACGTTAACGTCACGGGTTTCCACACACACAAATAATTCACTCAATTGTATTCGCTATGGATTTTAATTTTAAGCACTGAACTAAATGTCCAGATTATTAAGACAACTATCTCATGTTTTTTATTTATTAATACTGACGTTGTTTCAACCAGTTTTTTTTCAATTACGCTGATCTTGTTGATACAACATCAGTTTTTCCCGTGTATGTAATCCGTGTCTGCGTATCATTTATCGAAAAAACGCATCTGGGATCAGCTTGAACATATCTACTCCTTACGCGACCTCATTTCCGCCCTAAACTTTTACGGTCGGCACTAAAGACGCTTGCCCGCTTCACAGGAGATTTAAATTTCCTGGCTCGGGGAAACGTACTGGAAATCGGCGATTTTATTTCCTCGCGTAAAATAGCGCATCCAACAGCGGCCTGCCAGAAACGGATATCTTTTTACGACTGGTCCTACGTGCCACTCCGTGAAGGATTTCGAGTTTTAATTGCCTTTCCAAGGAAGTGCACGCCTCAAGTCGTTCATCCAACCCGAGCTCTTTCGGAGATTCTTCGAAGGATCGAACGATCGAGTTTCCTGGGGCGTATTTTTCGAAGCAAATGGAACTTTGGCGGGCACGAAAGATCTCTTTAACGTCAAATTTTCCAAGAATTTACACGTTCGTAGTAAATGTGGGACACATGTTTCTTGATAAATAATCGCAATTTGCAACATCGATGACATAACGCGTTCGTATTATAGCGGCGAGCCTTTCCCCGTCTTCCCTTTCACTTGAGATTACCGGAAAACGCGTTGATCGGCTTATAGAAAGGAGCTCGAGAAATGATTTCGACCTTGTGTCTCGATCAGTGCGAAACAACTTCCCTGTCTTGCGCCTCTTCCGCGTTTGAGGTACCGAGTACACGCGTTCCAGTCCATCCAAGTGCAGATCGCGCGCGGATGAGGCGCGTCAGCAATTAGTACAATGCAATCCCGCTCGTTATCCCGCGGGATATCTGATCGCGGATCTTGGCTTGCGCACGTTGTACGTCTTTATCGTCAACGGGATCAAATTATCCGTGAAAGGGCGGACACACTCGAGTAACTCCAGAAATCGGTACACGGTTACTGCGCTCCCGACGAAATCCAATATGTTCCGAGGATCATCGTAGCGATTATATGTTCCCATCGGACCTTCAGATCTTCGACGGGAGTACAATCGCTTTTTAGCTCTATTCATTTTTAAGCCACTGCGAAACCGTTAATGAGTAGTGTGCGATACGTCACAATCTAATCAATTTGCCCAAACTTTCTGCATTTACCGTTTGCATTTTATACAATAATGCCCGATAAAATTGTAACATGTATTAAATAATATAAATTATATAGCGCCAAGCTATTAAACAGAAATCTCCTTAAATCTCGAACACTCTAATAAGGTATCGATAGAAAAGATATTTAAGATTTACAATAGACTCTTTCGTGCTTTTCTTATTGCGGTAAAAGGGATAAGTTGCCAATTCAGACGGAACGGCCGGATTGACGTAAACAGCGATCGAGGACGATCGCTGACAGGTCTAGCGACCTATGCGTTGTGCGCAGACGTAACATATTCACGAGATAGCGAAAGGCAGGCGTCTAGAGCGTTCACGGCTTCAGGGCATATCTCGCGACTCTATAGGCTGCTATCTTAGATGCTTATCTCAGTGGAAGCGTAGGTGTTTCAATGACGTGACCGGTCACGTTACCGAATGATCAGATAACGGACTCGACGTCGCGACAGTTTTAGCACACGACTTATTGGCGAACCCTTACGCTACTCGACATGTTTTCTTTTATTACAAAAATGAATAACAGAATAACGTGAAGTGGAGCCGAGACTAACTACTAGCCCCGACATTAGAATGTGCACAAGCAAAAATGAGATTTTGAGAATCTTTCACCTGCGTAGAATTACAGCTGTATAAAGTTTTTAATGTACAGTCGCGCGTGGCGAGCATATTCATCCCTTTAATCCACGAAGTAACGCGGCACAATGAGACTCTATTCTCGAGCCTTGAAGAATGAAGAGAGCGTTCCCGTGCCACAAAGAGGATCCTCGCGATTCTCTCCGGCGAGGAAGACATCGGCGTGGCGGATGTCAATATTCGTTTCCCGGACGAATTCGGTGTAAGTACAGTTTATTGTAAACTATCAAGGCTCACCAGCTGTCCGTAATCCAGGCCCGTCGTCCACTCCTTCGCGGTGAAAAGAGGGGCCCGTTATCGCGATCCTATCTGCGATCGGCCGACGCGATATTTCTAACAGGCCCCTGGGTCCTATTCCGTACCATAGATCTCGACAGATAAGGTTTGCGGCGCTCGCGGGGCCCACCAGGGGGGCCCGCCCATTGTATCACGCGTCTTACGCTCGCCCGACCAGCGCTCGACTCACGAGAGACCTGAGACCTCTTGCCACGTGGGTCACCGATGATTGCCTTCAACCAATTAGATAGATTTCGCAACAGGTATCGTGTATCTTATATTAATCGATTTTATCGTTTTAAACACACTCTTGCTCCGTCCGCTGCACCGAAAGTTCTGTACACAAATTATTTACGACCCGATTTTGCTACAGCACACGCCGGTACACGCTCGTCATTTCTAACAAAAATAAAGATAATTGTACATTTTCTAATTAACAAATCTCTTATCTCGAGAATCTTGAAAGTAATGAGAAATATATATAAATTATAAAGAGAAGGGAGTTACGCGGTAAAAATTAATTGGGGATAGGACCTATTCACTGCGCCGAGAAGTTTCTTTTAATAATTCTCCTTGCCGCGCCATGCCCTCTACTTTTCTTTCAACCCTACGCTCTCAGCCTCGAATCGCCTCGAATCCTATGATTACAACCGAATACGGCGTCAAGAATATCCGTTTCACGTGCGTGATGGGAACGCGCGGATCTCATCACCGAAATAATTAGGTATTAATTGTTCAACTACCGGTAGGGGGCCTGTCTCGTGCGAGTCATTCCACTTAATACGCGGCCGATTCTGCCACGGGTTGACCTGTAGGCCGACGCTACAGGTGGATCGGCCGTGTTGCCATTAAGCCGCGCGTTAATTACAGAGATCGCGTACGCTGCCGGCCGGCGGCCGCTGCGCATCGGTGCTTTGACATCGAGCTAGGAACCGCGTTTCATCTCGCCGAAATATTAATTTTCACCGGCGCGATGCCAATGCCGCGGCCCCCTTGGAAATCGGCCGCTGCCTAACGAGGAACCGAATGACTAAACGCGCCGGAGAAACGAGGTAACACAAGCAACAGGACGTAAATACCACCTTCTGAATTATTATCGCCCTACGCAGCCTCTAATCATCGGCTGTTATTTACGAGATTATTTTTACATGCTCCGTCGACACGTCGCCTTTGTGTTTCGCAACGGGTTTGTTCGCACGGATGGAATTAGAATATTAGTAAAACCGCTATTACTAATTTACATAACGACTGCAGAATTTCAAAGTCAACTCAAAAGTCCAACATTCCCCGAACAATACAGACTTTTTCAAATGAGAATTTTAAATTTGTGTTGAATATTAAGCGTTATGTGTCTCGCATAGTAAGAGGCGAGATAAATATTCACGAGGTCCGCTTACAGCACGGGCCAGTGCTATACAGATGCGAGGAAGCGCTCCACTCTCTTTCTGGATCCGAGTAAAATTAGCAATCCAGATGAACATGACGGACTGGCATTAAAGGATTAAGTACGTGACACGGTTTCCGTGACGGTTGCGCGCAGAACGGTATAAGTTATCGTGGTAAGTAACCATTACCTAGATCCAATTGCGTTAATGCCCAACCTGCGTGCCTTCGCGACGCGGAACACATTCCAACATGCAAGCTGCAACAGCCGTTCTGTCCTGCCCGTTTCTTCACTTCGTAATCCTGTTGCCGGTTTCGTCTTCCACTTTGCTTATCAAAATCCTCTTTCCCGGTCGCAGTTAACAACAGGATGAAATAAGCTGTGGCAAATAACCGCCGTGCAAATTTTTTCGCGTTAAAATCGCCGTTTCGTTAGGACGTCATTACATGATAATTTCGCCGTACGATCAATTTTGACGTCCAGACATAATTAAAGCAAGAAATGAAGCTCAATCGCGATCCAGAGTGCTTTTGTTCCGAAGGTGATTGGCTGTGGTTGTCGCTCTACATACGATTGCAACTCCTTATTCTTCGTTAATACTCATATAAGAATAGTCGTCAAAACCATTTATGAATCATAAAGCGGTGCGAGAGATTCCTAGAAAATCTCCGGCGCGAGTGCCTAAGTGATTCCGAAATTGCGGCTTGCGAAGGTGGCAACAAGTGATAAGAAAGCGCAATTTTGAGACCAGGTGTCTGTCACGATTTATCGTTTGCTGATCGTCGAAAATTATATGTCGAGCTAATCCGGTTTCTTCGCAACGACCGCATCAATCCCGCAGATACCTAAGATTATAGTCGGCATCCTTACGCCTCGTGAGCCCGAACGCCTATAACAAATCCATTACCAGGATAATTTCATGTGTTGCAAACAGCGTTCAACATTCATTCTCGTCGACGCGCAGCGATACCGATCGTCCGGTTATCCTCGAGGTGCCGATAGCGAAAGCCTAGTACATGTACTCGCTTATTGAAGTTCTTATATTATCGATTATCGATGATACCAGGTGCGTGCCGTGATAGGAACTTAGAAATTAATCGGTAGGTAGGCTCGGCCTGATGTTTGCGAAATTGAATCCGTACGTACGCCTCTCGTCTCTCGTCTCCTTAACGTAATACCCGATCTAGTTGTCGATGATTAATGCGGTTTGAATAACCGCAACAGTTTTCTGAAATTGATCATGATGTACTAGAGATGAACAGGTGGATTGTGGTTCTGAGACTAGTTTTATCAACAGCTTGCGTAAGCATTTCATGCATTTTCAAAGTACTAATGCTTCAATTAATATATTGCCCGGTAGGATTTTCTGCACACACATTTCTACACACTAACACACGCGCGCGCGCGCGCGCGTGTATCTCTTTTCATCTAATAAGAAAGTGAAAAAGAGTTAGCGATTTTCCTTTCTTGTTTTTTTTTCAACCGATTGTGAGAAGAATAGTTAGGTGATTCTGTGAGAAATGTAACGTGTAAATGTAACAAAATGTAATTTCTGTGAAAAATTCATTATTGAGGAATGTAACGAATGGTTCTAAAAGGATTTCGTGACAAATGATCGTGACATGAAACAGACAATTGGTTAAATAATGAATATCTTGATGGCACCGTGATCCCTGTACCTTTTTCATTAATCTTATTGTCCACTAACAAAAGAGTCCCCGAAGAAAAATTATATGTTCATGGCAGTTTCTTTTTCCGTCTATTTTTTCCTTACCCTTCCATTCATTTTGAAGTGACCGCTTTCAAAATTAAAAAATCGTGTATTGAGAAAGCACCACGCTCTGAGTCGTCGGTAATGTGCGATGGTGAAAAAGACTTAGATCATCACGATCGTGGTTCGGACTGAAGTAAAGAATGATCTTCAAGACAGTGTAACGAAGCGGAGCAAGATCGAACTTTTTACTACTATTCTCGATATTTTTAGACGTCTTTAATTAATCGATCGTTAATATTCGCGCGAAATAAAACAGAGCGGAACGCTCGACGAAGGCGAGACTTCCAAGAAATCTGTTGAGAAATGATCTCTTTATTCCTTGTCGGCTCGTTATAGAAGTACACGTCGCCGGCTACGAAGTGGCGTTACAAATGTTGCTCAATTTTCTTGTAAGGCCGTCGCCGTCGAGAGTGCCGCCCGGTTTCGCCGGTAAGCGCCGATACCCGCCACTTACACGGCGCAGATTATCGCGCCCACCGAAAACGACGCGCGGCCCTCGTTTGGAGTATGATCGAGTGCCCGACGTGCCATGCGGTTCCATCGAGGTGCGGCAGGGCCCCGACTACTCGACGCGATTTAGCGGAAGGTGGGCAAATTAATGACACCGGCTCGCAAAAGTCGATCCTGGCTGGTCGCGACGGGGCGGGGGAGGGGGGGAAGGGGAGGAGGGCAACCGGATCGGCGGCATGTTGGTTCAATTTCGAAGCTGCTGTATCGAGACGGGCCGAGAGGCGTACAATTAGCCCTCGTTTAGGGGCGTTTAGGGACCCGCTTATCGCCGCCATTACTGTTATTATCGACTTATTACGTGCCCAGGCCATCACCATCGGTCCCCAGAATTGCAAACAGCCTACAACGTCGCGCGGACGCTTCGGGACGCGGGGTACGAGGCGGGGGGGCTGCGACGTGCCGCGGATCTCAGCTAGCGGCGGAAACAGGATCTGGATCTGATATTACGCGGCGTTATGTAGGAGACCAGTGCAGTGGGTAATTCAGTCGGTAGGACGTCGCGAAAGGGCCGCAGGGCGCGAAGGGTTTACGAGAGAGCAGGTGCGAGCTCGCGACTCGTTATTTATCGCTGCCTCCTCGGAATGTCACTAATTTAGCGCAACAAGTGGACACGGTAATTTGTGCACGCATATTATATCGAGAGCTGCTGAATAATATTTAATTAGCACTCAAGCTTGAAACGAGTCTTCGTTACGCCCCAACGTATATATGTCTCGTCCTTGTTCGGATTTTTATCAAGGCTGTTTCGACGACCGCGAGATTAGCAGTATCAATTGAATAAAAGAACGTTCTCCGGATAGACATGGTAAAAGGATATCTCTCTCAAATCTCGACGCGGCCGTGGCGGCGGAATTCACTTTCAATGGCGCGATAAAATAACGTGAATGCGCGTCGCCGTTTTGCGCCGCGCCTTCTGGTTTGGCGCGAGCATCTTAATCTACGCTAATGAACGACTCTCATTTATGCAAGGAACGTGTCTGTGGCTATACCCACGCTAATATACGACCACCTGGTGTATCTCGAAAATAAGCTGCCACATGGGGGGATTCATTAAAGAAACTTGCACGTCTTAAATTAATAAATACGTTATGTGTTTGTATAATTTTCATACGTTTGAGGGCAAATTTAGGATAAACGCATCGAATACTGAGGTGCTTTTGCATGTGAAAACCGGTTAAAGCGAATCTTCGATATTCTATTATATATTTTCCTACCTTTTCCCATGTAAGTCATTTTAATCATAAAATCAAAGCAGACTCGTGTTCCTTCGTGCACATTATCATTCTTTTCGATGGTCGTCATCTAATTACGCCATGGACCATTCTCTGGTGTCTCTTGTCTCCATAACTGTTGTATCGTATCGCTAGAGATTTTACGAAAATCTCTCCATGGTTCGTCCATGGTTCCTGTATCTCGGTCCGCGTGCATAGGATTACGGCGCGATATAATGACACGCCATCGGCCTATTAACATAGTAATAGCGCGTTTAGACCGTCGGGACCAACGAATGCAGCCGGTGAAGTCATCTCCGATCTACGGCGGGATTTTGCCGCGAATACGCTCCGGAGTACGGCGCGGTTGCAGCCGTTGGGACGATTTAGATGATTGCCTCGATGAGCCTCGACGCGCACGTAACGTGGCGTGACTATCGCACGCGACTAGGGCCTCGTACAATAGCGAGCCCTAATCATTTCTTTCGAAAAAAGGAAGTTAAGTACGCTCAGAGACTCCGGAGCCCTTTCTGTTACAATAAAGAGGGCCTGCGATGGCGTGCATCCCGATGCAAGCCACGCGACTAAGAATTGTATCAACGTTCTCGTTTCGGAAACACTTTTTTTTAATGAAACCCCTAGTTTGCATTGCATTTTTTAATACATATTCTTCCCATACAACACAAAAGCTTGCAACAACATTGCTGCAACATTGCAATTGTATATTGCAACGTAATGGTACATAGATATTGCAAAGACATTATTATACAATATTACTTTAGTAATGTTGTAGCAATATTATTTTAAAATATTGATACAATTATCTTTGTAATATGCATATTGTTTCCTCATCTCACTTTTATAATTTACTAGAAATGACAAAACGCGCGCTTCGCGCGCGCAGTTTGTGGTTGGGCATTGTGTATTTTTGAGAATTTGTATACATGCAAAAAAGTAATTGCATGCGCAACGTCAATTTAAAATAAAAAGTAATTTATCACTCACTGATACGATTCTCAACAGCAGAGTCGTACATCGTTAACTATGTATGTTAAACTGTAAAAATACAAATATGTATATGATTATTATAGACTAATTATGTAAAATCAAAATAATTGTATGATTATAAATATACTTTATATTTCATATTTTTTAAAATAGATATTTATTTAAATAATTATATAGAATACTGAAAAAGTCTTTCTCTTAAATATAAATTTACAAAATTATATACGTATGGTCTTATCTCTAATACATGTTTGAATCCTCGTTCGAATCATTTGAACAAATCATATAAAAACACAGAACAGATGCTTTATTTCGCACAAGTAACAGATAACATAAAAATGCAAGACACTTACCTCACCGAACAAATTTCTCCGCTGTTGCCCGATGCCTCCTTGGCTTCCTCCTTCTTTCAGATTTCCTTGTTGCACTCACACAACACTCGCGAAAATCATCGATCGCGCGAAATTTCAGGCACTCCCGTACGCGATGTGAAATACCGCGAAACGCACGAAATATTATTAACAAATATCGCGTGACTCTTTATCATACAAATTACTCAAACTAACAACTTGCATTTTTGATTCGGAAGAATGGATAAATCACTATTGAATTGGCGATATAAAACGCAACGTGAGCATCGGAAGCATAATCTGGGGTAAAGAAGTAGTTACA